TTTGGATGATTTCTGCTACATTTTGGAATCAAAACTCTATAAATGATGGGGAGATCCTCATTCAGAAACTCATCAACCAAGGCTATTTTTTCACTACTTTTGATGCTTAAATCATACTTTTGGCTGGTTGCATTGCGCTTTCGATGGCAAAGTGGGTGATAAATCAGCCAATCTTCCAATCAATTTCCAAATTTATAGGCTCCCAAGGTCCCCCAAGAAGATAGAAACGTGTTTCCAGGATGGTAGTTCTATGATACCTTGGAACGTGCCGAAGTTAGGCTCAAAATCAAGTCGAGAAACCGGTGCATTTGAGTTTCTTGACGCATGCTTCAAGTTACTGTAGCTTTGCCAAGCGGGCAAAGTGAGACATTTTCGCTTGAACCGTCCTCCAAAGTAGGGGACTTGAGGATTCTGGCGCAGAAAGCATTTCAACGTGGCTTCTTGAGGCTTGTGGATGCAGACCATAGCGTGGTGGATCCTGCAGTGTCTCTACAAGCTGCAGGACTTGAAGATGGAGACCATCTGACAGCTATTGCCGTAGAGGCAAGGCTAGCGGCAACAGACCGAGCTTTTGCGTTGTTTTGCCCTGGAGGTGACCGGGTTGTCACTTGGGGACCTTCAGGTCTTGGTGGTGACAGCTCTCACGTGCAAGATCAGCTCAAGGGTGTCCAGAAGGTTCAGGCATCCTATGGCGCATTTGCTGCGATCCTTACCGATGGGTCGGTCGTGACATGGGGCAGTCCGCATTTTGGCGGTGACAGCTCTCAGGTCCAACATCAGCTCAAGGGTGTCCAGCAGGTTCAGGCAGCCTATGGCGCATTTGCTGCTATCCTTAACGATGGGTCGGTCGTGACATGGGGCAGTCCGCATTTTGGCGGTGACCGCTCTCAGGTCCAACATCAGCTCAAGGGTGTCCAGCAGGTTCAGGCAACTGACAGGGCATTTGCTGCGATCCTTACCGATGGGTCGGTCGTGACATGGGGCAGTCCGCATTTTGGCGGTGACAGCTCTCAGGTCCAACATCAGCTCAAGGGTGTCCAGCAGGTTCAGGCAGCCTATGGCGCATTTGCTGCTATCCTTAACGATGGGTCGGTCGTGACATGGGGCAGTCCGCATTTTGGCGGTGACCGCTCTCAGGTCCAACATCAGCTCAAGGGTGTCCAGCAGGTTCAGGCAACTGACAGGGCATTTGCTGCGATCCTTACCGATGGGTCGGTCGTGACATGGGGCAGTCCGCATTTTGGCGGTGACAGCTCTCAGGTCCAACATCAGCTCAAGGGTGTCCAGCAGGTTCAGGCAATCAATGGCGCATTTGCTGCTATCCTTACCGATGGGTCCGTCGTGACATGGGGCCTTCCGCATTATGGTGGTGACAGCTTTCACGTCCAACATCAGCTAAAAGGTGTCCAGCAGCTTCAAGCAAATGGAAGGGCATTTGCTGCGATCCTAGCAGATGGGTCAGTCGTCACCTGGGGCGATCCAGATTTTGGTGGTGACAGCTCTGAAGTCCAGGATCAGCTCAAGAGCGTCCAGCAAGTTCAAGGAACTCCAGTTCTATCAGATCGTAAAGCTGGCGCGTTTGCTGCGATCCTAGCAGATGGGTCAGTCGTCACCTGGGGGGATCCAGTATATGGTAGTTCTGAAGTCCGAGATCAGCTCAAGAGCGTCCAGAAAGTTCAATCAAGTGCTCGCGCGTTTGCTGCGATCCTGGCAGATGGCTCAGTTGTGACTTGGGGCGATGAATATGGTGGTGCTAACAGCTGGGAAGTACAAGATCAGCTCAAGGGAGTCCGGCAGGTTCAAGCCACTGACAGGGCATTTGCTGCTATCCTGTCAGATGGATCGGTTGTGACTTGGGGCGATCCAGATTATGGTAGTGACAGCTCTGAAGTCCAAGATCGGCTCAAGAGTGTGCAGCAGATTCAAGCAACTGATAGCGCATTTGCTGCGATCTTGGCGGATGGGTCCGTGGTGACTTGGGGCAATCCAGCTTCTGGTGGGGACAGCTCAGCATTCTTAGCACACTTTGCATATGTGTAGCCACGTTGCATTTTACTGGGCCAGAACTACAGTCCTGTGATTGGCTTTCGGAAGTGTCGTTGAAAAGGCGAGCAAATTGGCTAGGTCGAGACGAGTAGGTTGATCCATGGTTGATCCCAATGAACTGGAAACCATGGTTTTTACCTCCAACAATACGTGGTATATATGGGGGGTTTCTTAAAATGGGGGATCCCGAAGTCACCATGGGTTTCAATACTAAAATGGTCTAATGACTTGGATGATTTGGGGGTAACCCCATTTTAGGAAACCTCCATATGTATATGCTGTATAGGGGTTTCAACCGTAACATTTCCCTTCGGCTATTCTGGGATGTTCTGGGTTCGACCCACACCACCATTGAGTTTAGTGGATTATGAGGACAGAGCAAAATTTGGCCGCGAGTTAAGATGTTACGCGCACTAAAAGGTCAAAACGTGATCGGCTCGTTGTGAATTTGTTGAATTTGTGCCATATTTTGGTACAGTCGTTGGGCTCGTATGTCTGGATGGTTACAGCTACCCAAAAGGTTGTAATGCGGTTAAAGCAATGTCATAAACCACCCATTTGGGATTTGTTTATAGCACCTCTAAAAATGGTGATGACTGGGGGATGGTGCAAATGGCATTGTTTTACCCACAGCCATAAAGTCCCAGCTGATAAAGAAAATCGCCTTTAGCCTCGATGCCTCAAAACCATCAGGGCGATACTCCCCGAGTCATGGAGGTTTTAATGGGAAAAACGTATACCCTCTGGAAATTTAACAGTTCGCTATTGAAAATGGCCCAGTCGAAATAGTTGATTAACCCATTAAAAATTGTGATTTTCCTTAATTTTTTGTAAACGTTTACCAGAGGGTACCGTACCGGGGGATTTTCCATTGCGTTTGATTACCTGGGGGTATCTTCCCAGTCTTCATGACAGCTGGGATCAATATCAAGTATTGACAAAGCCAGCGCTGTCAGTTTCCCATATACAGGCCCATGCTCGTATATCCTGTGGTTACTTGTATATGAAACATATTTGCCGCTGCCGCTGCATTGGATGGGTCTAAAAATCATCCAGTTTTTGGAATTGGGAGCAGAAATTCTGGTCAAACTGGTGTACCGCCAATCGGCATCGCAATAAAATATTGCCCCAGTGGGCTAAACAGACAAAATAAATAGTGGTTAAAAAATTTCATTCACATTTCCAATATCCCCTCAAAAAACATCATGGCTAAACTCCTCTAGATGGTTAAATCCCTATACCCTCTGGTAATCCTTATTATTATCTCATTACTTTCCCAATTTTTTATCCTTATACATTCCATTAAATCATTAGATTCCTACAAATCCCTATGAATCCCATGATTCCAATTCTTCTTGGATATTGCAAAAGTGGACTTTTTCATTGAAAACGATGATGATTTTTCCAGTAACAATAGTCATTACATAGTCATTACATAGTCATTACATAGTCATTACATAGTCATTACACAGTCATTACATAGTCATTACATAGTCATTACATAGTCATTACATAGTCATTACATAGTCCTGCTTGAAACAAATTGAGATATTATCTGGTTGGTGGTTTGGAACATGGCTTATATTTTTCCATATTGGGAATGTCATCATCCCAACTGACGAACTCATATTTTTCAGAGGGGTAGGTTAACCACCAACCAGTTATGTGAATTTATGTAACTATATGACAAATTATGACAATACATAGTCATTACATAGTCATTACATAGTCATTACATAGTCATTACATAGTCAATACATAGTTATTACATAGTCATTACATAGTCACTACATAGTCATTACATAGTCACTACATAGTCATTACATAGTCCTGCTTGAAACAAATTGAGATATTATCTGGTTGGTGGTTTGGAACATGGCTTATATTTTCCATATATTGGGAATGTCATCATCCCAATTGATGAACTCATATTTTCAGAGGGGTAGGTTAACCACCAACCAGTTATGTGAATTTATGTAACTATATGACAAATTATGACAATACATAGTCATTACATAGTCATTACATAGTCATTACATAGTCATTACATAGTCATTACATAGTCATTACATAGTCATTACATAGTCATTACATAGTCATTACACAGTCATTACATAGTCATTACATAGTCATTACATAGTCATTACATAGTCATTACATAGTCCTGCTTGAAACAAATTGAGATATTATCTGGTTGGTGGTTTGGAACATGGCTTATATTTTTCCATATTGGGAATGTCATCATCCCAACTGACGAACTCATATTTTTCAGAGGGGTAGGTTAACCACCAACCAGTTATGTGAATTTATGTAACTATATGACAAATTATGACAATACATAGTCATTACATAGTCATTACATAGTCATTACATAGTCACTACATAGTCATTACATAGTCACTACATAGTCATTACATAGTCCTGCTTGAAACAAATTGAGATATTATCTGGTTGGTGGTTTGGAACATGGCTTATATTTTCCATATATTGGGAATGTCATCATCCCAATTGATGAACTCATATTTTCAGAGGGGTAGGTTAACCACCAACCAGTTATGTGAATTTATGTAACTATATGACAAATTATGACAATACATAGTCATTACATAGTCATTACATAGTCATTACATAGTCATTACATAGTCATTGCATCGTCATTACATAGTCACAGTATATAAACAGATATGAACAGAAACCACGGGTAGCCGCTGTAAGAATCGGTCATCCCCATCCAGCATGGCTACTTGGACGATCCCCACGGATCGCAACGGATTAATAAGCCTGGTTAATAACCCTGGAGGACCACTGGTAACCAGGGTTAATGACCCTTGTAATGGTTAATAAGTCCCAATCTTCGTGGCATTTTCCCATTGATGGATGAACTAACCCCCAGTTACGTTCACTAATCCCATGGACCGTGGGATGATCCTCCAGGAAATCTCCAGCCGCGCCAGGAGCCTTATCATGTTTTGGTGGACGGCACCTTTCTGACGCATGCACTGCAGCAGCGCATCTATGTGAAGGCGGGACATGTTTGTTTTTGTTGACGGGGATGTTATGATATGTCATGATATGTTATGATATATTTGATGGAGACATATAATCATATATTTCATGAGACATATAATCATGTAGTATAAAGTCGGGGACATAAACACAGATTTTATGACGAACACGTGGGGGACTTGCACAAGCAAGAGCAGGAGATGAAGTCAACAGATGAAGTCAGATATGGACATGGAATCTTTGGAAAACATTTCACCACTAAAGTTGCTTTGTCCTCTCGTATCAGTTTTGGAATTCTCCAGCCTATTTCTGTTTTCTTCTGGCCCTATACTCTCCTATGATCTAACATAGCCATGGAAAAGGTCGCATTTTTTGACACCATGTCACACTTCGCAATCTGCAACAAGAATTACCAGCATATATAATCTACTACCTCATTCTGTATACAGTATTCCCAATTTTTAGTCACCATGAAATCCCATGAATTTCGTCACCGGCTCCAAATCATTGGTGTTCGTTTTTTCCCCATGGGTTTTCCCTGGCAGGAGCAACTTCCCAAGATGTTAGAAGGCAGAACGACTCCCATGGTCACCAACTGTGTGTTGGAAGAACTCCGCTCCCTCGGAGATCGCGCCTTGGGGGCGGCCATCATCGCCAAGGGGTGACCTGGCCAGGTTGGTTTGAGCAACGAAACATCTGCAAAAATGGAGAGAATTGGATGGTATTGGATGGTATTGGGTCAAAATTCAGGGCTTCCAAAGATTGAGACGACCGTCTCCATAGAGTCGGTTATTCTGGAGGAAATCCTTGGGTGAAGTGTTGACTTCCCAAGTGATTCGTGATTCGTGATGAACAAAGTCAGGTAACAAAGTCAGGTGATTAGATGCCGTGCGAGCAAACTCCACCCTTTCTTTCTTGTGCATGGTCTGGATCAACCTGGCTAAGGCTCAAAATTCCAGGTCAGGATCAAGGGTTAAAATTCACAGGCGATCCATACTCTTGATCCATATGGATCACCGCGGAACGATTCATAGCCATTTTTTGAGCCACAGCCATATGCATGTATTGTATATATATATATATATATATATATCTCAAACTACTGATATCTCAAACTACTGATCAGGTGCTCTCCTGCCGACTCTATCCAAGAACAGGGGAAGAGGTTCAACGCCAAACTCGTAATGACAGGCAAAGCATGATAAGACTCGTTTTTTTTTGCATCACATGAAAGAATCAACCAACATTCTAACAACTCCACCAATATTTCATCAATATCAATATTTCATCATCTCCAAAACAGTGATATTGCATGATATTGCAAATTCTGCTCCCGTCTTTTTGGACCAGGGGGCTCTCCAGGTACTACCGCCTGAAGTGTGGCCATGAAGATCCCATCGTCGCCTCTAAGTGCATCGCGCAACAGATCGGCCAACAGAACGAGCGAAGGCCACCGCGGCCATGGGATGCGATGGGGCCGACCGGATGGTCACCATATTTTTGGCATGGAAACCTGGAAACCCCTGACCATGAGAAAAACATCGAAAAACCAAAATTGTTCCACCTTGCCACTTTGTTCTGTTTTTCCCGCACAAATTGCCCAAACATGTAATGATTGGTCACAACATTTCCCAAAAATGATTGATTTTGTGGTCTGATCCAACCCTCCATGGTTTTCCTGTGGTGAGGCTATTGGTGGCCACCCAAGATCCCGAGCTGCTGCAGACGTTGAGGGACGTCCCCGGCGTGCCGCTCATCAGGCGCGGATCTGTGTCATGTTTCCATGCCTACATTGCTAGGATCCCCCAAAAAGGATAAACAACAGATAGATGGCACATAGATTTTGAGCAATTTTTGCTATTTCACATAGATTTTGAGTGATTTTTGCTATTTTCGACCGTGGATTTCGATCTAAGTCTATCTCTTTGTGGAGTTGGTCCCTTCCCTAGCTCTCAACGCCAGGCTGCACGGTCCCGTGCCGCAGCTGGAGGAGCCTTCGAAGACGTCGCAGAAACGAAAGGCGTCGCTGGAAACGCAGAAAGTGCGCGCCGCAGAGTGGGAGAAGCCCAAGCTGCCAAAGCTGAAGGTGGCATCTCTGATGGTTGGGATGGTGGAACCGTTGTTGGATGTGTTTTTTTTTTGGAAAAGGAATTGCCAAAAAACATAGAAAAGGGTTAGTAAGATTTCACTTTCTTTTTTTTGGGGACTTGAAGAAAATGGTACATTACAAATGGAGAGATTCCAGATGTAAGTGGGTAATAGATGTAGTAGAACAATGGGGCCTGCTCATTTACATCAATTTAAAGCAGGGCGTCAGGGTGGTTGGATACCTTTGGAGGTTGGATGGAGAAGCCAACCGGTGATTAATGATTGTGCAAGTGACAAACATGGATGAATGGATGGGGACATTTCCAACAAACCTTGGGGGCTTGAGATTCCAGAATTGGTGAACATTTGCAGGGCACATTTGTACAAGGTCCCCAGGTATGTTTGTTGGTTTAAAAATCTATTAACTATAGTTCATTATATCCCTCGAATCAACCCTAGAAACCAAGGAAAGATCGTTATATCATGGTATATCCCCCCAATCAGCCCTTGATAACTTTGTGATGGTCGTTAAACCTGGCGGTTTTTAACGATCACCTGTCAACATCAATGTCTCGAAGGCGAAAGAGATCCAGGCGAAGGCCTTGGCGGAGCAGCCAAAGAAGGTGAGGAAGAAGAAAGGACGGCGGATCAGCGGCGAATCGAAGCAGCCAGAGATGGGGGATTTTTCGCCATGGATTTTGCCATGGAAAAATGGGTCGGAACTGGTGGTTTGGGGCGTGGGTTTCCATATGGTTGATGAAACAAACATGGAATCCCAATGAACTTTCAAAAAGCACGTTTGAGAGAGGATGTTCCTGCTGAACTTGTGCCATTCAGACGATTTTGGTCAGGTGCCCTCTGGTAATCATCAGTTGTAGATAATTCATGATAATTTTCTCATTAAAATCCCCATGCAAATATGCACAATTGTTCATAATATGGGAAATCCTATTTGGTATCAGTTTTATAGATAGTTTTCCTCCATCATTTTCCCATTAAAATCCCCATGCCTCTAGGATTTCCCTTGGGTTTTCCCATGGCTTTCCGGCCAGGAGCGAATCCCTTGAGTTGTAAGAAGTCCAAAAAGTCGAAACCAGGCGCGTTTGACTTGGACAAGTCCCGTGGGATTTCAAGGCTTCTCAAATTTGTAGATAACAATGTTTCAGCGTCCAAAAGTTGCTAAAACACCGCTATTTACACTGCTTCGTAACTTCCACGTTTTCTTTTGACATTGCAAAACTAGCTCCAGACTTACCAGCTTCGGGCCTCCGAAACGTCCCCTTCGCAACATACAAACACCACCCAACTACGGGACGGACGGGCTTCCAAAGCTGCTACCTGCCAGTGCCTGAGCCGACAAAAGACTCGCCAGCTTCGGGCCTCCGAAACGTCCCCTTTGCCACATACAAACACCCTGCCACTGCTTAGCGTTGCTTTCTCAACCGACAAGACCCCCTTCGCGGGACGGACGGGCTTCCAAAGCTGCCCCCTGTCACTGCCTAAGGGCCTCACGTTGCTTCCTGAACCCACAAGAAACCAGCGCCAGACTTGCCAGCTTCGGGCCTCCGAAACTTTTCCTTGGACACATACAAGCACCACCCAGCTACGGCGCGGGCTTCCAAGGCTGCCTTCTCTTGCCGCTGCCTCTTGTCAGTGCCTAACGTTGCTTTCTGATCGCGGAGAAGGAGTCGCAGGTCCCGCAGGCAAAGAACACGCGATCGGACAAGAAAGTCTCGCGGCATGCCGAAGGCTGCCTCATGGCATCCGAGGCGCTTTCCTCGGAGACGGAGTGGCATGAGGACTGCAACGTCCCCAAGGTGGGGGGAACTCCCGTCGCTGCTCCGTCAATGGGCTTCTTGTGCTGGCGCCTTGGCTTCTTGCCTTCTGACTCTTGCCGCTGACAGTTTTATTCTTATCATCTTCTCTTATGCCATCCTTGTTCTTATTCTCTTATTCTTGCCCCTTGTGTCGTGTCCCCTCTTCTCTGACGCGCTCCCCCTGCTGTCGGCTGGGGTCGGTGGATATCCGATTAAATCCCAATATTGCTGCGATATTTCCCCATGAAATATTCCCAAATTTCATGCTTGAAAACCCGACTTCCCTATATAATATAACTATGAAACCACCATTCATCGTGAATTCCGCTATGAAATTCACAACATTTCATGATTTAAATCGCAAATTGATGGTTAGATCCTCTTTTCCATTCTGCGCCAATGCCCAGGTGCTGGAGTTCCCACGCCTGCACCAGAGGCGAACCCGAAACGGCGCGTCCGTTCCAGGCGCATGCGCGCGCAGGAGCGGGCACCGGCCAAATTGACAGCTGCTTTACCATCAAAAGGTGGGAGTTGACCAGTGGACTTTTGGGATTTCATGGGGTTTGAGTAGATTTTAATGAGAAAATTGGAGATTTTATGGGATATCATCAACATTCATCAACCATATAGAGAGAGACTCATCAACAAAAATGGTGGAGTGTCAAGAAACCTAAAGTCAGGCCAAAACAACTGATGATTAAACTGATGATTTACCATTCCCTTCCCAGCTAAGAGTTTGACCAGAGTCTTCCCCCGATTTGGTGCGGTCCATGTTGGGGGGATGGCACATGGTTTACAGAGGGATTGAACCAGACTGGTATATCACCACGGACTGCTGGGTGGTGCTTTCAAATACTGGTAGTTTACCGGCCATCAATAGAGAATTGACCAGCAGATAACTGGATAATAGCGGCTATGAACTGTGGCATCTTGTTGTTTGGTGGTTTCAAATGGTCAATTTTTAGTTCCAGGGGTTGAAATCACACGAGAAGATCTTGAGCATCAAGTAGGATGATGTGTGTTTCTTTGGATACCCTCCAGTAACGTGGCCATGGAACATCCCCTTGTGTTTATCCTTAAACCTCCATTTGCAGGGGACTTCCCATTGCCACGTTTGATTGCGGGAAGGTAAGGGTAACCTTCAAATATGGGGATGAAAAAGGCCATCAATACTCGGCCAAAAACCGATGGTAGATGCTAGTGTCTCTGATAGAGTTGGGAACCAGCATCTTCCACCCAAAGTGGTCAGCTTTGGTCAAGTTGTCACCAGGAAAACCCTGAGCCAAGTGAAGCCGCCTGACCAAAAAGTGCCGGCTGGTGATGGGATGGTGAATGCAAAATATCAGAGAAATGGGAGGTTTTTCACATGATTTAACATGATTTCACCATCTAAATGGGGATCATGGGGATATCAATGGGTATATAGCCAATGAAAAAATACTGGTTGGCGGTGTCACATATGTTTTTTGGCTTTGAACACTAGATTAGTGAAATCCCACCAGCCTAAAGAGAAGATATCCAGAAATATTTAATTTCTGTTTTTTTTTCTGAGACCCCACTATTTGTTTGATTCTGGGTCTGAAATATTCCTGAATTGTTTCTGAAATATTTCTCAACTTTTTCTGGATCGCTACCTTTTGTGATACCACGAGCACGTTTTCTTGTTGCGTTGACAGTTAGCAACGTTTCAAAATGTGGAAAAAGTGCAGGGTTTGCTCCAGATTCTCTGTTTTTTTCAGAAATATTTCAGACAATTTTCAGAAATTTATCGGTATTTACGGGGAATTGTTGTTTCACTTCTGCCGGGGCTGCTCCCCAAGTTTTTTTTTGGGGGAAAAAAGCAAATGTTGCCAATGTTTTCCTCGTTTTTCTTCCTTTTCCTTGCCAGGATGTGGAAAAAGTGGAGGTTTTTCTCCAAAATCCTTTTTTTTTGCAAGCATACATCAGAAAAGTTTTCAGAAAAAATAAGAGTTTTCAGATGTATTGCGTCAGTTTTTTCAGGTTTCATTTTTCCCATGTTTTTTCGAACATCTTTTCTCAGGCGCGTGTTTGAATCAGAAATAAATCCCAAAAAACAGAAGTTATATAAATATTTCCAGGATTTGGCCTTATGGCTGAGGAGGGTTTTTGACTACCCTAGACATCGGGATGACGATTCCAACTGATACAGAGTCAACAGGCCGATGGACCCAGCTTTTTCTGACTTACCTTTGAGGCAGCCTACGAGATTAAACCGAAAAACACATGCCATGAAAATGCCCAACAGCATCGAATGATCACGGAGTACCCTAGGATAAACTAACCTGGTGGTGGAAAACCCATCGTTTCCCCATGGGAAAATGATCCTTTGCATGATGAAATTTCCACATCTATCTATCTATCTATTAATCTATCTCTTTATCTCTCTATCTTTCTATCTTTCTATCGTTCTATTGTTCTATTGTGCTATTGTTCTATTGTTCTAGATATCTATCTATTTATCGATCTAGCTTTCTTTTTTTCTTTCTATCTCTATCTGTTTACAGGCTACCTTGCAACTATCTTGAAATCCTCTTCCCTTGGACTTCGTGGCCTGAGAGTTGCCACGACCATGGAGCCATGGCCAAACGAAAGCGGACTGCGTCGCCGAAATCCGCCACGCAGCTGCGCAACGCCAGGCACCCGGGGGAACGTTTTTTTCATGGATTTTCTGGGGATAATAGTAGATCATAGGGGATAAAAATCCCAGAAAATATCCCCTATTTTCTGAATGTTGTCAATGTAATAGGGGATAATAGGGGATAATAGGGGATAATCATGGAATAATAGTAGATAATAGGGGATAGTCATGTCAATTGACATGTTATTTCCGTGGTAGGGGATCATAGTACGACAATCATGGTAAAATCATGGGATAACTATTATCTTAAATGTTGATTAGTGATTAAACCATCATTAACAATGGTGATTAAACACGTTTTTTTATTGATGGTTGATGATTATTGATGTGGGTAAAACAATGTCATAAACCACCGATTTGGGAATGGTAACCATAGCAACTATAAGAATGGTGATGACTGAGGGATGGTTGATTATTGTTTTAGCCACATTATTTGTAAAGACACGGTTTTGCAATGGTTATTGATTGCCCTAGGAAATGGAATTATCGCATCCTTGGGGGAATCAGTGAATAAGCAAAAAACACCCAGCTGCTACTAGTTGCTTTGCAGAAGTAAGCCCTGCAGCTCCAGCTCCCAGTTGAGTGATCAACCACGGCAAATTTCGACACCATTTACTAGAACGTTGAACATACATCTCACTGCTAGGTTACATACTTTGCCAAATTTATTGTCTTTTGAAGGCGTCGCGCATTTTCGTATGAAGGTGGTCGCACTAGAAAATCACTGGAATGGTTCGGTCGCAACTGGTCGATCTACTGCTGATTGAGTGATTCGGTTTTTGGGCGACGTGCAGCATTTCAGGTGGAAAGATCCTCATTCAGTAATTTCACCTAGAAATTGTTCATTTTTACTCCTAAGATGGCCCAAAAACCTGTGGCAATTGGTCAAAATCATAGCCTCCACTTCGACACAGGAAACGCGCAGCGAAGAAGCGCGAGAAGGTGCAGAAACGTCAAATTGATCCGTCTCTAGTACCTGAGCTGCAGATTTTGAGGGGCTGATGACTTAAAGCCCAGAAAAGTCATTTTTGATGGCTGAAGATTTTTGAATATTCTGTCCCAAATTTGCGTTTTGCTTTGTTTCCCTTATCCCCAGGAAAAGCGGTGAAGCGTTCGCTTGTGACGCTGTTTTTCTCGTCGCCTGTGACATAAAACCCCACCCTACCCCAAAACCCTAAAAGGTAAAACCATTGGTATTGTTACCCTCTGGTAATTTAACGTGGCTATTGAAAATGGCCATTTAGAGTGAGTTTTCCCATTAAAAATGGTGATTTTCCATCGTTTTTTGTATGTTTACCAGAGGGTAGGTTTGGCACATGAAACGCAACTTAGACCCGAAAAAACCGCTACCACTCCCTCCCCAAACGCCGCCTCTCACACCCCTAGGTCTACATCGATGACCCGCTGCAGGCGCCCACGGTGCTGGAGGCACAGCGCTTCTTGGCGGAGCTGCTGCCGGCGTTGCCCCTGCGGCTTCGGAGCAAAGAAGGCGGCTGGATGTGGGGTGAACAGCCCCTGGGATACGGATGTCATTGGGATACCACAAGATTATATGGCCAGGAATATATTTGTCCATCTTTTTTTATCCGAAGAAGTTGGGAATTATAATCATGATTTATCGATAGGGAGTTGAATGGTGGATTTAAGCACCTGGCAGGTGAACATGAGGTTTAAAGCAATGAACATTTGGGATATATATAACTGGTAGAACCTAGGCAATGGGATGATTTTTTTTGGGGGGGGTATAGTATTTGAACGAACAAGAGTGGATATGAATATTTACCCTTTGGGATGACGTGGGATGAACAACAATGTACCCTTTGGATTTTCTATTTTCAAGGATATTTTTCATGGAAAAAACATTTGGGATATAGTAACTACCCCTGATATATTCTACATGTAATTCTATATGTTGATATATTTGTTAACAATCCACTATCATGGATATATGACAAACAACATCGGATCGGGATGGCCAAGTGAATATGGATATTTGTTGGGGGCTCAATGGTTTAATGTTGGTTTAACCAGCTGGAGGATGATATAACTTATATGGAAGGTAGATAGATGGATAAATAGATGGATAGATGGATAGATTAGATAGATTCGGTAGATAAGATAGATGGATAGGTGGATAGATTAGATCGATCAGACTGAAAGAGAAGATGAGATAGAGTAGATTAGCTTGATGTATCAAAGTAAATTGAAATGGCTCAGACTAGATTAGATCAGAGTGGATTTGATTAGAATACATTTTAAGCAGGGATTGTCGTATAGGGTGGGAAGTTTTATACATGGTTTCAAGTCATCGGGTTTAATTCAAGGACCAGGAAACCCAACATATTAAGTCTTCCAATTGTTATCAGAAGGTTATGAATGGGATGGCGGGAATGGATGTTGATCGGATGGAGAAAAGGGGAAGATTAAGCAGATAGGTTTGAAGGCAGGCGGTTCAAGAGAGAGACAGAGATATATATATATATACATACATATCGATCGATCGATAAAATCGACAGATCGATTAGATCGATAAGATGGATGAAATAGATAGACAGACAGGCAGATAGATGGACAGATGGATAGATGAATAAATGGATAGACGGATAGATAGATACATAGATGGATAGATGGATGGAATAGATCGATAGATAGATAGATAGATAGAGATAGATAGATAGATAGAGATAGAGATAGATAGAGATAGATAGATATAGATAGATATAGATAGATATAGATAGATATAGATAGATATAGATAGATGTAGATAGATATAGATAGATATAGATAGATATAGATATAGAATAGATATAGATAGATAGATAGATAGATAGATAGATTAACACAAATAGATAAGCAGACAACACGGGGATATTTCATGGGATATATAACATCGCAAATAAATGCACATGAATCATAGTTGATTTATTGACAAGAGAGCAGAAACAACACTAATTTTTGGATATTTCATGGTAAATACATTGTATATAATCAAGTGTATTTTTGAGTCAACTATGGGATGCATATGGAATAATTTTTCTGATGCAACCAAGAGTAGATTTATCTATGGTGAATTGGGAAAATTGTCAATCTGGCGACCTCACGTCAAGATGTCACGTAGATGATGGGAATTGGATTGGGGTTACTTTCTTAAACTCGCCGAACTTTTCAGGTCGGTATAATATTACAAGTCAGATTTGACAGCAATCATTTTAGTTGCTATATTTGGATGTCATGGATATCTGTTATCATGGCAACTAAATACGACCCACGGAACAGCTGTTTTGCCACAGTTTTGTGGCATTCCAAAAATTACAACATCATTTTTTTCCGCCACAACTTTTGTTGGTTGATGGCAAGTGAATGGTTTGGAACCTGTGATTCCCCATGTGTTTGGTATCGCTGACTCAACTGGCAGAAGACAGGTTTGCCACGGGATCATCATTCACAGCATATTTGTGATATAACTATCGAAAAAAGGGTCATTTATAGATGATTTACTTATATATATATATTTATGTATATATATATATTAAACATGTGTTTCCATATCTATGTGTCTATTGTTCAATTACCAGAGGGTTAATTTGAAAACAGCCGGAATCAATCAAAAGGTGGCCAAAACTGGAGTGTTCCAAGTTAGATTTCCAGGAGGTAAGTTGTTGGCTAAGAAACGGGGTCCCAACTCAGAGACAGCAAAGGCATGATTAGTTGCTACCTGTCAGCCACAAAACTCACAATTTTCTTTGCTTAAACCCACCATTTTCGTTGGTCAAGGTTCCAGGAATTTCCTTTTTGTTTGGCTGAACGTCCCGTTTTTTCTTGCCCTTTGGCAGGCTGGCGCTCTTCCGCAAAGTTGGCGGTGCGCGCAGGCTTGCTGAGGTTAAGCCGGTTAAGCCTTCAGTTGTTTAAACACAAATATCCTGCGATTTCCATTTCCAGGTATTAATACTGTAATATAGATATAGTGTTATATTATCATATATTCATAATCGTAGATATAACACTAATAATCCAGGTATTTCCAATATTTCTCTGTTTCCAATATGGGGGTATAGAATGGGATCAACCAATATGCAACGGAAAAATCATTTCCTTGGATCATGGTTGCAATATGTTGCAATCGTCACATATCGTCACCTCAGGCAGCGACGGCCCAAAGATCGGCCTGTTTCTGCCCAAGAGCCACGACGTCATCTCGGTGATGGGCTGTTCGGCCCATCATCCAGCCATCAACAGAGCACTGGAGGCCGGAAGATGTTGGGTTTAAGCATCAAAACTAGAGAGACCCTCTGATAAACCTACAAAAAACGATGGAAAGATCCACCATTTTCAATGAGTATATCCACTATTTCTATGGCCATTTTCAATAGTGAACTGTTAGTTTACCAGAGGGTATGATTATGTAAATGGGGATCTTGGTGGTTTCAGATAGCTTTGTTTTGTTTTTGTCCAACTCATTCTTCGTGATGGTGATGCCCCATGGCAACTCATGGCAACTGTGATGGATTCCCAACACATCAGATAATGGTCCTCTGCGACAAGTCACAATGGTGAATCGATCCACAGGGAATCATGGTGAATCATGGTGAATCAATGTTAATCATCCCCATTTTATGATGGACATAGTTTGAATCAAGGCCCTTTCCAGGTGCACCTTCTCAGCCAGGTCATCATGTCTGCGTGCAAGGCTCGGAAGATCCGCGGCTACGACGAGCACAAGGGGACAGGCGCATGAGGGAGGAGCTCCCCAAAAATTGGAAGGTAACTAACTGCGTAAACCAGAGTAGACCAGAGTAAAATCCATAGTAAACCTGAGAGGTCCACGACCAAAATCCTTTTTTGATGCCCATCCCGGATTAGCAACCGTTTTTTCCATTCAAAGCTGAAATTGTTGGGGTAATTTAAGCAGTCTTTTTGTTTGTTCGTTCCAAACGGATTTTGTAAGGGAAAAAACATGCGCAATTTCGGTAAGATATGTTTCCTCTGTTATCACCGTATTTGTCCTCACGATCATCTACACATTTCGATGAAATAAATCCTTGGATTAACCTTGATTTGGCACAACGGCCGCTTGACTTGCAAACTCAGTGGACACCTAGATGAACATCGACTAGCTAGCTAAACTGTTCGGTGGTGGTTTCAACTATGTTTTTTCAACACAAGGATGTGGAGGTTTCCTAAAATGGGGGTGCCCCTATTCATCATCCATTTTAGATTGGGATTTTCCATGATATACCATCAATTTTGGGGTACCCCCATCTATAGAAACATCCATATGATGCCAATTGGAAAGCCATCAGATCCGGACTCCTTCGGACTCGGCGCCAGGGGACCTGCGCTACGTCAAGCTGGACGTGCAGCGTTCCACGGAACTGGTTCAAGCGACCCTGGTGTGGAACGCCGGCTCCCTGGAAGAGGCAGGACATCACGTCGCGACGCCACCGAAGCCTGGAATTTTTCGGTGAATGTAAGGGGAATCATCCCCACGGCTGCAAGTTTCAGGTTAGTAAAATATGATCATTTACCCAGAATGGTGATTTATTTGATGATTTATGGTCATGAAATAAATTATGAATCCCTTATTAACTTATTAACCAACAATACATGTGATTTATTCGTACTTTTGTTTCATAGGTATTTCATGGTATTTCATCTGACATTGCGTTGGAATTATATATAAAATTACGGTGCTTGTTTTCTTTGCTGTTGTGAAGTATTTTTGGGTATTGTTTTCTATGGGAATATCCTTGGATAAACGTGTTGGGATATGTGACCAACAACCATGGGGATCCAACCGTCAATTCATTGGTCATTTTTGATGGGGAAAGCCATGGTTGTTTTTTGGGGTACCGTATTTTATTCAGAAACCATCAAGATGTTGAAGTGCAGTTATCACCAGTGAGTTTCTACGAAATTAGGTCAGCTATATTTCCAGTTGCTCAAATCCCTTACTGTTACTTGTAGCCTGGTATGGCTCAGTCCGGATGGGTAGAAAAGTGGGAGCCGTCGAGCACTTTAAATGGTAGCGTGAGCTCCGAACAGGGGCAGTAGTGGTTTTAGGCTTGGGCCAGTGCCAAGCCGTCCGGTGTGCTGAGCCATGCAGGGGTACGAGAGTGAGAGCCCTTTGCCAGGGGATCTCCCTCAGCCCGACTTTGGTCGACGCCTTCAGGGAACTTTGAGCTCGAGTTCCTCAAGGGCGTCGGGCCTTGGTGAGCAGAGCTTGGGCAGCTCTGCATTGCAGTCAGAGGATGTCCGGTCGGCTTTGCAGGCCTTTGACCGGGAGCAATCAGTGCGGGTGGCTGGAGATCAAGAACCTAGACAAGATCCTTGGCTCCGAGGTGATCCATGGTCAAGAAATAGATCAGAGAATTGGGCAGTGAACTATGAGAATTGGTCTCCTGTAGAGTCTGGGAGAGCGACACCAGATAGTCGTTCTGAATCTGGTTCAAATGGTTCTGGGAGCTCTTGGGCAGGAACTCAATCCTCGAATCCGTGGAACAGCGGTTGGGATGAAGGCTGGAGAACATGGAATAGTTGGCGAGGCTACGACAATTGGTCGTTGCGCAGTTCTTGGCGCTCTTGGGAGACTCCTTTAGAGTCGGCAAGGGAGCGTGCAGGGCATCCAGAACTTTGTGGGGGTGATTCAGAATCTGGCGACAGACTTGCCGGAGTTTCTCAAGTTCATAAAGAATGCCATGGAGATGATTCGGAACAAGAGCATCTTGTCGATCACAAAGATCTTCCTTTACCAGCTTCTCCTTTTTCTCCTGCCGTGCCGAAAGGGAATGCAGACGTCCTTGGTCGGCCCAGAGGACACATACCGACAGGTGAACCGTCCATTGCCGGCGGGTCTGGGTCTGGGGCGACCAACAAGGCTGAACCTTTAGTGGGTAACAAGCTTTCTTCGTCATACCCACCAATTTTCTATGCCAGGCCAGGGGAATCATGGGCTGATTACTGGAGGACAGTGCAGTTTTGGTTGGCTTCAGAAGGCCGCACATTGCCAGCCGAAGTCCGTGGCCCTCGGCTGATGCAACAGCTACGGGAACGGGCTGCCAAGATTGTCCAGCATTTGACAGTCTGTGAGGTCTCTGGTGAGAATGGCATTGAGATCATCAAGGCCACAATGGAGAAGTCGCCGATTATCAAGATTCTGGACACCAAGAAGGTTGACAAGAGGCGGCAAAAGTTCATGCGGTTGGGGCGACTTCCAAGTGAGTCCATCGAGTCCTTCCTCAACCGTGCTGAGATCTACAGGCGGGAGAACCAATCATCGCCTGACTACACTGTTGGCAGCAAGTTCTACATCGGGCACCTCCTGGATGCTGCCAAGCTCACAAAGCGAGATCTGGCTTTATTGAAGGCAGCAGCAGGTGGTACCTTGGAAGATGAAGAGGCAGTGACAGTAGCCCTTTTGGAACTAGCAGATCAACTTGAGGGTCTGCCACACTGCACCATCGGCAAGGGTGAGACCACCCTTGACAATGAGGACAAGTTCTTGGTGCAGAAGGCCACAGGGGGTGGGGGTACTACACCTTCATCGTTAGAGACGGCAAAGACATCTTCATACAGACCAAAGAGAAGATTCTTCAACCGCCGAAGAGTCCGGGAAGCCTTGGTAGCCATCCTGGAAGATGATCTTGATGGAGGACAAGAAGGACAACATGTGCAAGAGGTTGAAGATCTTTTGAGTAACATGGAGTTGGCAGAAGAGAGTGGTGATGAAGATGATGATGAGCCTCTCGCTGATGGACAGCCGTCACCGGCTGTGAGTAAAGATGCTGTCGGGGATGGACCTGAAGGACCTCTCTTGGAGATCTACGCTCAAGAGTACAAGGCAAGAAACAAGGTCCGCGAGTTGAAGAAGATGAGACAGTACTTTCAGAAAGACCAGCGAGGTGGAGGCCCATCCAGTGAACATGTTCAGAAATGGGTCAAGGAACGTCAACAGACCGATCCTTGCTTTCTTTGCGGCAAATTGGGGCACTGGTCTCAAGAGTGCCCAATGCGCCGTCGTGCACCAGTTCATGCGTCCAATGTGACATTTCCCAGTTCTGCTGTAGATGGCCGAGAATGGGATGTTTTAGAGGATTTCCTCAAAGAGCAAGACCTTGCACAGCGAGCATATATGGTGCATGTCAGCCATGCGGGAGGGAATTTCTCAGAAGCTCATGATGTTTATTGGACCATGAAGGAGTTGGGAAACCAGATGATTGTAGATTTGGGTTGCATGAGAACAGTTGCTGGCACTTCGTGGGTCAATCAGTTGGTCACCTCCTTGAAGGAACAAGGGAGATTTGTACATGTCATGAAAGAGCGTGAAGCCTTTCGTTTTGGGGATGGACATCTGTCTTACAGCAAGTTTTGTGTTTTGGTTGAAGTGGCATTGGCTACGGTTCAGTGTGTTTTGCGCATCTCCGTGGTTTCGGGAAATTGTCCACCCCTTTTGAGCAAGAATGTGTGCAGTCACTTGGGCTTTGTCATAGACACTGAGCATCACATGGTTTCCTCCAAGAAGTGTGGCATCAAGAATTTTGGGTTGTCTCAGACCAGTGTCAACGGTGTTTATGGTGGTCACTATATTTTTCCTGTGAATCAGTTCGACAATGACATGATCCCCATCAAAGAGTTTGACATCGCAGAAGATCCAAGCTCACATGCAGAAGTGGTGATTGTCAACACTGCTGCAGATCGTGCTCAAGCTAGTGACTCGCCGCGCTCATCAGCTCATGGCCAATCGTCGGGCGGCGGCTTCGAACTCTCCACAAGTGGTGCCACTGTCCGACACGGCAGTGGCATGGGAAGAGCTCGGCCTGGAGTCTCCGGGCTCGGACCTGGAGATCATGTCCGACACGAAGCCGGAGTCGAAGTCGTGGCTCAGAACAAGAAGTCCAAGCCTGTCATTGGCAAGATGGCTCGCCGGCAGAACACGCAGATGAGGACGGCGGGGAAGTTGGTGAAGAGTTCAGCAGCAGCTTCAACTCCGACGCAAACGCCGGAGCAAGTGGCAGCAATGGCGATGGAGATTGCACAGAAGCTGCTGGAGCAACAGAAGGCCAGCCATGTGGAAGTGGATCCAGAGGATCAGAATGCAGAACAACAGGGCAGCCGCCCCAGTTCGAGCAAGCTCCAGCCAGCTCGGAGCAAGGCACAAAAGAAAGCAGCCCTCACCGGCTCAGAGGCGCCGTTCCCGACGCTCAGCAAGGAGTTCAGCGACGACATCACCTTCAACCTCATGCTCTCCCTGAATGCTCAGACACTCACCTTCAAATGGAAGTTGCTCTTGGTGATGATGCGTGCCAAACGGGCGGTGGAGGCCGAGAAGACGCTTCGGTGGAAGCGAAATCCCAGATGGATCATGGGACTACATGGGCGACACATGGCGGCACTCTGGGGACATCTCGGAGCGGGCCGTCAGCTGTGTCACAATCCGAAGACTTGGTGGTTGGCCGATGGAGTGGAGAAGGACGACCAGGCGAAGACGATGGGCAGCGGCAGCAGGCGCCACCACAGGCGTTGAAGCACTTTGACATGGAAGAAGAGGCGGTGGACATCGTCTTGGCGGGTGATCCTTTGGCGCAACTACCTCGAGATCAACGTCTTCAAGATCCAGATGGACGAGGTGGACAACGTGATGGCCTTCATCCTCAGGCTTCGGGCGGGCTATGTGGTCGTCTACCTGAACAAGCTCCTGGTGGTCTATGTGGTCGTCTACCTGAACAACATCCTGGTGGTCATCCTCAAGATCCTGGTGGCCATCCTCAACATGCTCAACATCCTGGTGGACTATGTGATGGACTACCTCAACAAGCTCTTGGTGCTCATCCTCTTCGACATCCTGTTCAACATCCTGAAGGTGTTCCTCATGCAGAAGTTCAAGTAACGCAGAAGGCTCAAATAGAGCCATTGAGAACTCCGACATTTACAAGACCGATCAACAGGCAGCAGTGTGCTGCCCTGCATAGAGGAGCCCCTTTGGCCAAAGAGCGGTGGAGGGTACTTCACTCAATTGCACGTGCAGATCCGGCCAAATGGACCTTGTTGGAGATTTTTGCGGGCAAGGCGACACTTTCGCTGATGGCTAGACAGCAAGGATGGGAAGTACTTCATCCACAAGATGTTGAACTGGGGGGCTTAGATCTGAAGAAGGAAGAACATCGAGCTCTTCTGCAAGATTTGATCGAGTCACAGGAGCCAGATGTGGTGACATTGTCTCCAAGGTGTGGACCATGGAGCCCTTGGCAACGTCTCCGGAAGAATCGGAAGCGTTTGCGAGAAGAGCGGGAGGAGGAAAGGCCAATTTGGGCATTGGTGGAATGGATCTGGAATTTCCAGACGTCACGTGGAGCACTGGCGGTGCTGGAGCAGCCGCAGCAGAGTGAGGCCCTGAAGTTGCCTGAAATGGCCAGGCGCAAGG